ACACACGGGTATATCAGACATATTTGTGTGTTGAGCAGGGAATCTCTTGTTGAATTATGGCTGTTCAGGTTGTTGTAACTTAAAGGGCAGAGACCAAGGGGACCACTCACACAGCCATTCCTCTGATGTCACTCCCTAGATTTTTTTTTAATGGTAGCTGTTAAATAAATGGTACAACCATATGTGCTGCAAATTAAAAAAATCTTCAAAGTCTGTCTGTCCCATGTATAAGGTGGAGAAACTAAGGGATATTAAACTGGGGTGCCAAATTGAAGTAAATAAAAATAGAATAAAGATTAGTGAAAAATACATTAAGATGTATATTAGTGGTGATCACTGGTCAGATTATGGGCCATTTTTATTATGTTTCTATCTTTTGTATGTCCTTTTTTTTTTTTACAATTACTACTGTTGATATAACCAGAAAAGGAAAAACAGATATCTCTTTTATTTTTAAACTCTTATTACAATTTTGTAGTAGTCTTACTGAGTAGGTCTGTGTTTTCTCATATACCAAGTTTCCATTTATGTATAGGTTTGTTTCTAGGCTCTCTGTTCCACTAATATATTTTAATATTTGCTCATTTAATGAATAAGATATAACATGATATGATATAATAATGCAAAAGGAATGTTCTCTTGTTTGAGGACCCAGTTACAGAAGTTTTCTGGGCTAATAATTTGTATTTTAAAATTAGTTCTTTAAAATGTTGTCATAATTTTGTGTAAGTAGTTCACAATGTGTTCTTATTTTTGCCAGTTTTTCACACACTGAATTCAATATTCAGGTTAAGTTTACTTGTTTTTGTTTATGGTAGCCACATAATTAAGACTGAATTCTATGTCACTGAAGTCTTCTGATTCAGCTGCCCTTCTAAGGTTGTGTTTTATAAACCTGTCACCTTGCATGAATGATTTCCTCATTAAATTTCTTTTTGTTTTTATTCATTAGTTCTTCCCGTTTTCCCTTTGTTATTTACAAATGGTGCTGTATTTGCTATCCCTCGGAGGTGGTAGGGCTGTTCTGTGTTATGCTCTCTTGTATTAGCTTCTCACACAGATTTTTTGCGGAGAGCAATGAGGCTAGGTAGAGAGTAACCTTAGTAGTATTTGGAACTGTGAAAGGCTACAAGTTAAGATGGCCACTAAAGTTTTTTAGAACCAGCTGGGAAAATGATGGGATGGATTTTCTGCCCTTGAGCCTCTGAGAAGTACCTTTAACCTGAGAATTGTGAGGCAGACATGTTTGTTTTAGCGTAGACTTGTGAGTTCCTGTGGAGAAGAAAGGTCATTGTGGTTCTATAATAGGGTATATTCATTATAGTGATAGGAATTGTTTTGCCTTCCTAGAGGAGAAACTTCATAAAGGGGGAAAATCGATGGGAAATAGAACAGAAAGTTAATGGGTAAATTATTTCAGTAAATTCTTGAGTTAATTCTAGCAAAGTAGATTTAAATTCTGAGCATGTATTTTGGAGAGGTTTTTTTTTTTTTAATGTGGAAGAATTGATTCTAAAGTTGAAAATGTTTCATGAGTATCTGTTTAGAATAAGCTTATTTTCATGTTGAAAATAAGGGGGTTTTTTGTTGTTGTTCTTTTCTGGTTTCTACTCACCCAATAAGTACATTCCTGAGAAAATTATTTTTGTTGTCAAATTTTCAGTTGATTTGCTCATCACTTGTTTTTGTGCTCAAATTGTATAATTTTCAGGGAAGCATTTTCTTGCTTTGTTTTATTAAATAGTTGTGTTGCAGCAAAAAGCTATCTTTTACATTTTATAAAAGTGTGTTTTTAAAATCTATACATGGTGTAGGAACTCTTAAATTGAATGTCTTGGATCTAATTTAGAGTAACTGTACTAGATATATTTGAAATTTAAAATACAATGTGTTCATAAAATTGTTTCTGTTTATGCTACTTAATGCCTGTCTGATCACTTAATATAGGGTTTTTGAAGCTCCTCACAGTTTGCTTTACCTGGGCTACTTGTCTGGCTATTTCCATTAATGTGTGTGTGCATGTATGTGTTTATACACAGGCCATTATGGGTTTTGGCAGGAGGAGGTGTCACCAGTTGATTGGGTTTTGGCGGGAGGAGGTGTCACAGGTTGATTGGCAAGTGGTTACTGTGTATGTGGAAATCTTAATTCATAAGACAGATTATGATTTAGAGGGTGATGATTAAAACTACATGAAGAATTTTTAATTTATGAAATGAAAAGTACAAGATTCCTGTGTCAATGATAACTTTCCATGGTGTGTTTAAGTATTAGTTAAATGCCTATGGGAGTCTAGTGAAATTTAAAAATAAATTTTAGTAACCACTGACAATTTTATATTAATCAGAAATTAATATTAGGCATCTCAAAAAATATAATGTACTGCCTCTGCTTGGTAAACTGCATATTCCCCTTTCTAGGGAGAAAGTAATTGTGCGAACAGCTTTTAATAGTCATCCTCACCTAATTTTTTAATAGTAATAAGCTTTACATGTCATATAATTCACTCATTTAATACATGAAATTGTTGGGTCATGTATCAACTTTGTGCTTCAGTTTTTGAGGAACTGCCAAACTGTTTTCGAAATTGCCTTACCATTTTACATTCCCTCCAGCAGTTTCCCTACATCCTTCCCAGCACTTGTTCCTGTCCATCTTTTGGATGACAGCCATGTAGTGGGTGCGAAGTGAAGTGGTATCTCCTTGGGGTTTTTATTTGCATTTGTTAAGCATCATCTTTAGAGATATGCCTGTTTGAATCTCTTGCCCATTTTTAAAAACTTCTTAATTTGGGGTAAAATATTCAGTGACATTAAGTACATTCACAGTCTTGTGCCAAAGCCATCATCACCACTATCCACCTCCAGACCTTTTTCATCTTCCCAAATGGAAACTCAGAACCAATCAAACAGTAATGTTTTACCCTTTCCTTTTCCCAGCCCCTGGCAGAGCCTTTCTGCTTTCTCTCTCTTTGAATTAGACTATTATATAATGAAAGCATAAAATACCTGTTCATTTGTGTCTGGCTTATTTTCACTTAGCCTATGTCTGTCTTCAGGATTAATCCAAGTTGCATCATGTGTCAAAATTTCCTTCCTTTTTAAGGCAGAATAATATTCCATTGTGCATGTATGTACCAATTTTTAATCCATTCATCTGGTGGTAGACATTCAGGTAGTTTACACCTTTTGGCTATTGTGAATAATACTGCTGTGTACATTGGTGTACGTGTATGTGCTGAGGTAGCTGCTTTTAGATCTTTTGGGTATCTCCGTGGAAGTGGGATTGCTGGATCATATGGTATTACTTCATTTGATTTTTTATTTTTTTGAGGAACTCCTGTACTGTTTTCCACAGAGGCTGCACCATTTCTCATTCCCAACAGCAGTGCACGAGTGTTCCACTTTTCTTTACATCCTTGCCAGTCAGTACTTGTTTATTCCTTTTTTTTTTTTTGGATAACAGCCAACCTAATAGATGTGGAGAGTTCTGTCTTGTTATGATTTTGATAAATTTCAGTAATGACTAGTGGTATTGGGCATCTTTCAATATGCTTTTTGGCCATTTTTGGAGAAATGTTTATTCTAGTACTTTCCCCATATTTTAATTGGGTTGTTTGGGGTTTTGTTGCTGTTGAGTTATAGTTCTTTATTGTGGATATTAACACTATTAAATATATGACTTACGAATATTTTCTACCATTCTGTGGGTTGCCTTTTTATTCTTGGTGGTAGTGTCCTTTGACATACATAAGTTTTTTATTTTTATGTAGTTTAATTTATTTTGTTGCCTGTGCTTTGCTTTTTTATGTATTTATTTTATTTATTTACTTTTGGTGTCACACAGTATCCTTTATATCAACACTGATTGATGTTTTGGGAATGTATCAGGAACCTTCCAACTTCATAGTGATGAATAAACATTTTTAGACTTTAATTTTTTGTGTGTCAGTTTTATCATTGGCCACAAATACTTGAGTTGTTTATCTTGAAGTGATAGACTCACTCCATTTATTTTTGAGAAAAGTTCTACCAAATGTCTCCTGGTTTAAATAAGCATTGTTTGCAGTCCTTTCAAGTAAAAATGATTTTATAAAAAATAGTTAATTCAGCACACAGCAATAATCGACTGTTTTGTTCTTGAAATGGTAATAGTGTGTTGATATGCAGAAGTCCTTTGTATGTACTTATCATCACGTTACACAGAATAGTAAAAAGATGTGTATTCAAAAGGCGATATTTAATAAAATTAGTAAATTTGTTTTATTAAGCTTTCAGTGAAACAGGTTTATTTCTGTTTTACTGTGAGGTTCTGTTGGTGAAGAGGACTGATGGCTACTGAGAGCACTGCTGCCTTGATTTGGGGTAAAGCGTCATTAGTTTTACCCACTGCTGCTTTTGCACCAACACCCCAAAAGTCAACACAGTGACATTTTGTTATGTAACAGAC